AGAGAGAAGTATAACACAATAGGAAGGTTTTAGGTTTATTATATATTATATATTATTATTATAATATATTAATTGTGGATATTAGGTTGTTACTTGTAATATGTAAAATATCCACTAGAGGGAGCCCAGTGTATTTAACCACTTCCAGACTGGACACTTTTACCCCTGTCCTGTCCAGGCCAATTTTCAGCTTTCAGCGCTATCACACTTTCAATGACAATTGTGCGGTCATGCAACACTGTACCCAAATGAATTTTTTTCCATTTTTTTGAGACAGATAAAGCTTTATTTTGGTGGTATTTATTCACCGCTGGGATTTTTATTTTTTTTGCTATGTAAATGAAAAAGTCCAAAAATTTTGAAAAAAGTGTTTTTTTTAAATAAAATTTTGCAAATAAATAATATTTCATCCTAAATCTTGGCCAAAATTTATTCCGTTATCTTTTTAGTAAAAAAAAAAAAAATCCAATTTAGTTTATAACCAAAAATTATAATTTTTAAACTTTACATTTTTTTTTTAATTTTTATTATTATTATTATTATTATTTTTTTTTTTTAACATACTGTCACCCTAGCAGTACAGTGTCACCATAGTGACACTGTAATACTTGTGGGGGGGTGATAAAGTTTTTTTTTTTTCTTTTTTTACACTGATTGCTTTTACACCCATATAGGATGTAAAAGCAATCATTTCTCTTTCTCTCTGTCTGCATTCTTGCAGTCATTGAGAAGTACTGAGTGAGCTGTGATTGGTCACAGCTTGTCACATGGTACAAGGCTGTTGTGCATAGCCCTGTACCATGTGACCTCTGTGATCATTCACAGATTTCACACGTAGTAAGCAATGATGTCACAAGTGACATCTTGCTTACTACTTTGCATGTGATCACTGATTGGCCAATCAGTGATCACATGATCGGGACCTCGTACAGAGGTCCCGTCCCACGATCGGTGTTTCACTGTGTCCGGAGGACACAGCGGGCACTGGATCGCGGTGCTGCGTGCTCCTAGGGAGCACGCACAAGCACGGTGCAGGGAGGCCGTTTATAAATGGCCACCCGACCCTGCACTGCCACCATCTGCCCATTTATATACAACGGCCGGTCGGGAAGTGGTTAATAGTTTGTATACATAGGCATATAAAGTAGTTAGTATAAAGTTGTATATAGTGCTGGGTATTTTATGTATAATATGTTTATTTCTGGTTGTAGGATGATTTTTTCTTGAGTATTATGTAAAGTTACTATTGTGCTGCAATGATAATTTATGTAAATCATGGACTATGTACTGGTGGCGGTGTTTCCCCACTCCAACATGGCAGTTTTGGTCTCGGCACCATGCTGGATTGTATATGCGGGTTTACGCTATGATTTATTCTATATATGGTGGGCATCGGTGGATTGGTGGAGATTCATGGTTATACTTGAAAGCTACTATATCTGGATGACATCTTGATCTTATCCATGAGGCTGTGATGATCCTTTGGTTGAAGCAGAATTTGTGATAATACCCTCGCTGGGAGGTGTAAAGGCATATTATTTACATATTTTTGGTAAGGGTATTCACTCCTTACATCATAGATGTGGACACAGTGTTTCACATGTTGTTTTTGGATGCATATTTTTCACTTGATTGATTCACTGGCACTGTTTTAACGCTTTCACTTTTTTCATTATTTGTGATCACGCATGGTTGTTTGCGTTTATCACATCTGTTTCATTTATATTTTATTTAAGATAATGCACTGTGTGATTTTTCTTTTTATGTTGAGGTTTCTTTGTGAGCCATTGAAAGGCTGAATATGAAGATTGATGATTGAAGTTGGCACAGAGTGACTTTTTATAACAATATTTATTTAATTTTATTTCTTATCTATTTTTGGACTGTTGAATTTTTTTTTTTATATATATATATTTGTGTGATATATACTTTTGGGAATATTGGTATTAGCATATTCATATTTACAACTCTTGGGGCAGCACCTATATATGGTTAAGAAACCCTCTGCAGTGAGCTGGATCAACCCCAAACCGCTGGAGAAGCGTAGCAGAACCAGTCATACCTCTTACAGTGGTAGACTCAGAGGTGGCTGCCTGAACCCGAGATAGGAGCAGCAGTAGGGATGGCTTGCAAACCTGGTTGTATCGGAGCAGCTGAGGTAGGAGTATCCAGATGAGCAGTTTGGATTAGGAGTGTTTGTAATGCTATGACAAATTGATCTAAGCAGTGGTCCTGCTCGTCCAATCTGGAAAAAATATTACCTGCATCTCCTGAATTCATGGCCCTTGCATAATGTCAGGAACCATGAACCAGGTGGAGACAAAATCACACCTTGAATGAAATAGCAAATATAACATATAACAGATCAGGAACGTACTCAAAACAGAAGCCAGGGCTTGGATGCCAGAGAAGGTTATCAGACAAGCCAGAATCAGGAAACCAGAAGTCGGTGTAGTCAGGAACCAAAAATCAGGAATAACAATCATAAGTCAGCCAGACCGAGTTGTACACAGGCAGGAACACAGTGGAGATCATAGACCACTCTAGGGCAAGGAGGAAATGATCCAGGCTGCTAAAATAGCAAAGAGGGCTGGCTGTAGGCTGGACTAATGAGGCAGGTGATGGTATCCAGGTGAGTCAATGTGGAGACAAGGAGTGGCTGTTAATTAACCGACAGCTAAGCATCTTCTGAGCACTGAAAGAAAAGAGCTGCTCATTAAGTAGCAGGAACTGAGCTCTGACACCTGTTGTTGAATCAAGAAATCACTTGTATGGAAGCTTTCTGACAAAGTGAAGCATGCTAAAAGATCTCAAAAAGCAAAAGAAATTCAAGAACAGTTGAGAAACAAAGTAATTGACATCTTTTTTCCCTTTTAATAAAGAAAATCATTTAAAAACTTCATTTTGTATTTACTTGGGTTATCTTTGTGTAATATTAAAACTTGTTTGATCTGAATCAATTAAGTGTGAAAAAAAAAAAAAAAGAAAATCAGAAAGGTGGCAAATCATTTTTCATAGCACTATATATGGTGAACCTAAGGGGTAGTGTCAGGGCTCCAGGGTGTGACCAGAGGTATGTGACTGACGCAGGGAAATGCAGGCTTCAGATATGTTATAAATATAATTTATTAACACTAACAATACATAAACGCAGTGCAATACTAAAACATAACACAGTGCAAACGAACCAAACCAAACCACCCACAGATAACTGTACATACAATGCAAGCGTCGTCAGGCAGGCCGGGATTATCAACAGGAGGTCAGAACGTATGGGGTTAAGCAGGAGAATGGTCAGACAAAGCCAGGGATCAGGAGCAGGAGAATGGTCAGACAAAGCCAGGGATCAGGAGCAGGAGAATGGTCAGACAAAGCCAGGGATCAGGAGCAGGAGAATGGTCAGACAAAGCCAGGGATCAGGAGCAGGAGAATGGTCAGACAAAGCCAGGGATCAGGAGCAGGAGAATGGTCAGACAAAGCCAGGGATCAGGAGCAGGAGAATGGTCAGAAAAAGCCAGGGATCAGGAGCAGGAGAATGGTCAGACAAAGCCAGGGATCAGGAGCAGGGTCAGCAACGAATTAGACAGGAACAGGAAGCAGGAACAGGATACAGGGCCCAGGAGAAACGCACACCAAGGCAGAGTCTGCAGGTCTGGCCATCCCTTAAATACATCAGTATAAGCAGTTTCAGGTGTTTGGCTGGCTGCAAGGTTGAGTCTCTGATTGCTGGGAGCACCCGCTGGCCAGCCCTGGTACTGCAGCCCATAAGGCAGGTGAGTCCCACCATTGCTGGCCAGTCCATTCCTGACAGTACCCCCCCCTCAAGGAGCGGCCTCAGGATGCTCCAAACAGTCCTAGCTGGGCAAAATGTTCCACCGCCCGGGTCTGGTAACTGGCGGGATATCAAAGACTGGCACACCGGGCAGAACTCCGGGCAGCGGCACACCGGGGCAGCGGCACATCGGGCTGGACTCCGGGCAGCGGCACATCGGGCTGGACTCCGGGCAGCGGCACATCGGGCTGGACTCCGGGCAGCGGCACATCGGGCTGGACTCCGGGCAGAGGCACATCGGGCTGGACTCCGGGCAGAGGCACATCGGGCTGGACTCCGGGCAGAGGCACATCGGGCTGGACTCCGGGCAGAGGCACATCGGGCTGGACTCCGGGCAGAGGCACATCGGGCTGGACTCCGGGCAGAGGCACATCGGATCACCAGGCGAAGCAGCAGGCAGCGGGCCACCAGGCGGGGCGACAGGCACCGGGCCCCCAGGCGGAGCGGCGGGCGCCGGACCCCTAGGCGGAGCGACAGGTCTCGGGCCCCCAGGCGGAGCAGCGGGCGCCGGACCCCCAGGTGGAGCGACAGGTCTCGGGCCCCCAGGCGGAGCGGCGGGTGCCGGACCCCCAGGCGGAGCGACAGGTCTCGGGCCCCCAGGCGGAGCGACAGGTCTCGGGCCCCCAGGCGGAGCGGCGGGCGCCGGAGCCCCAGGCGGAGCGACAGGTCTCGGGCACCCCCAGGCGGAGCGGCGGGCGCCGGACCCCCAGGCGAAGCGACAGGTCTCGGGCCCCCAGGCGGAGCGGCGGGCGCCGGACCCCCAGGCGGAGCGACAGGCACCAGGTCACCAGGCACGACAGTGGGCTCCGAGTCAACTGGCATGATCGCTGGCACTGGGTCAGACAATGGATCGTCTGGCTGGACAGCGGGCATCGGGTCACCAGGCATCAGGTCATTTGGCTCGACAGCGGGCACCGCGTCATCTGGCAAGGCAGTGGGCTCCGAATCAACTGGCATGACCGCGGGCACTGGGTCAGACATTGGATCGTCTGGCTGGACAGCGGGCATCGGGTCACCAGGCATCAGGTCATTTGGCTCGACAGCGGGCACCGCGTCATCTGGCAAGGCAGTGGGCTCCCAGTCAACTGGTATGACCGCGGGCACTGGGTCAGACATTGGATCGTCTGGCTGGACAGCGGGCATCGGGTCACCAGGCATCAGGTCATTTGGCTCAACAGCGGGCACCGCGTCATCTGGCAAGACAGTGGGTACCAAGTCACCAGGCACGACAGTGGGCTCTGAGTCAATTGGCACGACAGCGGGCACCGGGTCATCAGGTACCGGATTGTCTGGCTCGACAGCGGGCATCGGGTCACCAGGTATGACAGCGGGCACTGGGTCACCAGGCATCAGGTCATTTGGCTTGCCAGCGGGCACCGCGTCATCTGGCAAGGCAGTGGGCACCGGGTCACCAGGCATTGGATCGTCTGGCTCGACAGCGGGCATCGGGTCACCAGGTATGACAGCGGGCACTGGGTCACCAGGCATCAAGTCATTTGGCTCGCCAGCGGGCACCGCGTCATCTGGCAAGGCAGTGGGCACCAAATCACCAGGTACGACAGCGGGCTCTGAGTCAATTGGCACGACAGCGGGCACCGGATCAGGTACCGAATCATCTGGATCAACAGCGGGCATCGAGTCAACTGGCCTAATAGGATCATCAGGCTGGATCAGTTCATCATGCTAGGTAGAGGCATCAGGCTGAGTGGAGGCATCAGGCTGAGTGGAGGCATCAGGCTGAAGAGAGGCATCAGGCTGAACGGGCATCAGGCTGAGAGGCATCAGGCTGAAGAGAGGCATCAGGCTGAAGAGAGGCATCAGGCTGAAGAGAGGCATCAGGCTGAAGAGAGGCATCAGGCTGGGTACAGGCCTCAGGCTGAAGTGCGGGTGCCGAGGCACCAGGCTGAACCACGGAAGGCAGGTTCTCAGACGGCAGGCTCACCGGTTTGGATACTGGCAGGATGGTATTGGTTGGAAAGAATTTTTGCTTTTTTCTGGTTTTAACTACTGGAGCACTGCAAGTAAACGCAGGTCTGCAAACGAATGGAGCAGCTGGAGACAGAGAAGAGCTGGAGGATGGAACAGAGGAGGGAGCAGTTGCTACAGGGGGCTTTTTTACAGGGTTAAAGGCAGGATAGGTGCAGCAAGTGGGAACAGGGTACTGACATGTGGTAGATAGCAGGGCAGGAGGAGCTGTTGGGAATGCAGGAATAGAGCTTTGAGGAAATAGATTAGAAGCAGGACTGGGTTTTTGTAGGCTGACTGAGGCTGGGTGCAACAAATCTGTCCATGTCTGCAGTATGGGTTGAACAAAGCTGAGCTTACACAAAGCCTGTCTGACCAAAGACTGCACTGCGTTTATACAATCCCTTAATACCTGTGGTGAACATGCAGCATAATGCTCCAAGAAGCAATCCACATCATCCTCTAATAACCATACCAGGGACTCTACCTGGTCGGCACTAAATGGCGGCAAAAATTCATCCCTGCATTCGGGGGTACCAGATGAAACCAACTCCGCACAAATCTGAATCAATGGCTGCACCTCAGAGAATTCTGTGCCCTGATCTACTAGAACATGAGCGAGCCGTATACATTCTAGCAGTTCATCCCGGGGATACTCCTTCAGAGTTTGATAAGCATACTCTCTGTCATCAAACACTAGCAGATATAAATACACAACCTCATCAAGATCCATCCTTCCCATCAACAAACCAAGATGGCTTCCCTGTGCAGCCACTTCTGGTCAGGATTGGCCTTGGTGTAATGTCAGGGCTCCAGGGTGTGACCAGAGGTATGTGACTGACGCAGGGAAACGCAGGCTTCAGATATGTTATAAATATAATTTATTAACACTAACAATACATAAACGCAGTGCAACACTAAAACATAACACAGTGCAAACGAACCAAACCAAACCACCCACAGATAACAGTACATACAATGCAAGCGTCGTCAGGCAGGCCGGGATTATCAACAGGAGGTCAGAACGTATGGGGTTAAGCAGGAGAATGGTCAGACAAAGCCAGGGATCAGGAGCAGGAGAATGGTCAGACAAAGCCAGGGATCAGGAGCAGGAGAATGGTCAGACAAAGCCAGGGATCAGGAGCAGGAGAATGGTCAGACAAAGCCAGGGATCAGGAGCAGGGTCAGCAACGAATCAGACAGGAACAGGGAGCAGGAACAGGATACAGGGCCCAGGAGAAACACACACCAAGGCAGAGTCTGCAGGTCTGGCCATCCCTTAAATACATCAGTATAAGCAGTTTCAGGTGTTTGGCTGGCTGCAAGGTTGAGTCTCTGATTGCTGGAAGCACCCGCTGGCCAGCCCTGGTACTGCAGCCCATAAGGCAAGTGAGTCCCACCATTGCTGGCCAGTCCATTCCTGACAGGTAGATTTACTAAAACTGGAGCAATCAGAATCTGGTGCATCTGTGCATGGTAGCCAATCAGCTTTTAAAGTGATTGTAAAGATTTTTTTTTCTTTTTTTCAAAACCATAACAAACATGTCTATACTTACCTGCTTTGTGCAATGAAATTGCACAGAGTGGTCGCAAACCTCCTCTTCTCAGGTTCCCCACTGGTGCTCCTGGCCGCTCCTCTCTGTCTAGTGATGAAGACAGCGGGACTCGGCCCGACTTGGCAGCGCTGGGAGCCAGTGATGTCCCAGCAAAGCCAGCGGGACACGGAATTAAGGGAAGAGAAGAGCTGCAGAAGTGCATGGCCCTGGATCCAACGGGGACTCCGGTAAGTAAAAGGGGGAGGTGAGTGAGGATTCTGATGCCAAAACATTTTTTTACCTTAATGCAAGGAATGCATTAACGGCCTCCCGACCGCCCTATAGCAGATATACTGCTACAGGGCTGCATGGGTGCGAAAAATCGTGTATATATACATTATTTTGCATTTCCGGGTAGGGAGACGCGCACGCCCTAGCTGCACTGCCATCTGAGGATCTCCGACAGGGAGAAGAACTGTACGTAAACAATACAGTTCTCATCCCTGTCAGCTCCTGCGCACTGCTTTGGATGGCTGTGCAGAACCATCCAAAGCAGTGTGATTATATTGAAGCACACGCACAGAGCTTCAAAAACAAATGCAAACGTGTCAGACTCACATATGTTATTTATAATTTATTGAAAATTACTTTAAATTTTATATTGTTTATGAATAAGTCCATTGAGTATATTTCACA